AATTAGTGTGTTATTTTATAAAATGTGAGATTTCAAATATTGGAAGTGATAGTCAATTAAGAAATTAAATATAACTAGGTATTTGACAATCTCATCCACATTCCTAAATGATTCTATCAATTGCTCAAAAATTTGTTATAAATTTTATCTTCTCAGTGGGAAAGTGGGGTTCTCCTTATATTCAAGCATAAGTGATTAGCACTGATTCAATCTCTCATGGTCAAGACTTTTTACTCAGTTGTAAAACTTATTTGCATTAAAAAATGAAATTCTGATACCCATCTATTAATAAATTATAAAATCTCTCTAATATTATTACTCCCTATAGTTCTTCCCTGAATTGTTTCTATTACCTTTGACATGGAAATTGTGTTTGTCAAATGAGTCAATCAAAATGGATCTGTTCTTCTGGGGGATAGACTCATATCTGTTATCTTGCTATTGATTCTGATGTTACCAAAAAAAAAAAGTTATACCATGTAAATGAGATCATAGCCTGATAGATGATTTATAAAGATCCAAGTACTGTTATAATTGTAATATGTAACTGGGCAACATTTTCACCAACAAGACAGCCCTTGACCTTCTATATCGTATATACATTTTCAGATGCACATCTGTTGTGAGTGATATATTTTGAATTATCAGGCAAAAAAAATAAACCCAAAGAGTTTTTCAAAATTTCAAATGTTGATGTTGGCAGTAAAACAAACTCAGGAGGGAAAAAAAAAAAACAGCTTAATCTAGTTAATTAACAACAAAACAGCTGGGAAAATGAAACATCCCTGGTTGTGACTGACTATAATTGAAAATGACTAATGATGCTGTCATTCTGCAGCTTATATTGGAGGAAATGATGCCTGGAAGATGGTAATTGCCCTCTTGACCATTTGTTTACAGCAATTATTTTTGTGTTAAAGGTTGGGGTGGAACCCTTTGGCCAAATATAGGAAGTTCATATCACCTCATTTTTTTCTCTTAACATTTAAAAAAAATTCAAAAGCAGTAATAAAACATATTATTAGATTCATGTTAAGATTTTTCTGGATAATTTAAAAAGTTAACAAAGCAAACCAGCTGGTGTGATCTTATCACTTCACCAAGTAACTAAGACATTTTAACTTTCATTAATGTTCTCAGTTCTAATAATGGAAGGTGATATAAGTATTTCAAAATATATACACACATTTAAAATTTTTTAACAGGAAGAGTGGTGTTCCAAAATTAAAGTTAAAGAAAGTGCAAATATAAGAGAATGCCATCCAAATGCTTAAGTTCTAAAGAACTAAACATTTTTTAAATCAAATAACAAGTGGCTTTTCTTTTTTGTAGTAAATACTGTTGCTACTGAGGGCAGTTGTCTTTGTTGCTTTTTAACTGCTAAATTCGGAGCTATTGAGGAACCTACTCATTACTTCGTGAAAATGGAACATATTAAAATGATTCCACCAACAGCATTACCATAAAGCATTATTACCAAAAGTATAGCTTAAGCAAAAATATTCAACAATTTATTGAACTTCAATTTATTGAAGTTATCCAAGCAATCTTCAATAGCTTCTGAAGTTAAGACAAAGGAACAAGGTACAAATCAAATGAAATAAAAGTGTGTGTGTCTCTGTGTGTGTGTGTGTGTCTGTAGGGGAGAGGGAGAGGAGATAGAAAGCAAAACAAAGATGCTTACTTCTTCAATTATCTTGTTTTAAGATTTTCCCAGTAAATTTGCATCAGAGATCTAGTGCTACATTTATGTCATTAGTAGAACTGTCCCCTAGTGTATGTTTGATCTTTAAGAGGAAGTTCTCAAAGAAAATAAGAAGTTGATGGCTGACATCAGTTATGGATGACAGAAAAATAAACTACAATTTTATCATCTTTGAAAATTATGGAAACCCTAGAGAAGTTGATGAAGTGAAGGGTAAAAAAAAAAAAAAAAACTGAACAGGGATGAGCCAAGCTCTTAAAGAGGACTCAGCTTGGGAGGTTGGCGTAGGAGGTAAGCAGACAGCCTGTCTGATGTAGAATGTAGAAGTGCCAATAGACAGCCAATTTTCTAAGAAACAGAACCATTCTCTGCTGTGTCCTTAATTAGAATGTCTGAAAGTGGTGGACATACTAATTATCCATTTAAATACTGGATCTTATATACACACCATGAGGGATTTTCATTTTCCTTTGGAAGGCTATCACCATCTTCTTTATAATTGCTATATTTTCCAAATGTACCTCCTCCCCAAAACAAAAACCAAACTTTTGTCATGAAAATGTATTGCAGGCTATTTGTACCCTGCCTCCTTCTATTAAAGGGTGAGAAACCTGAAAGTTAAGGAGGCAAGAAATTAGGAATAGTAAAATTTAAAAATTTTGATATATGAAGTCGAAGTTAAATGCAGGCTTGATTTATGTACTATCAGAGCGATGGCTCACCCTTTAGAAAAATTATTCCTAATCTTTAAAAAGAAGTTTTTGATCCATGCAGAGATTTAAACAGCTCCCCTGGCTTGGTACCTTGTATTGCTGGGTTCCAGGTTTTGGAGGATGAGGTAGTTTTTTTGTTTGCTTGTTTCTGTTTTTTTTTTTTTTTTGTCTTCATTTTTCTTTTTTGTCAGCTTTAGATAGCATCCTTTAATATTTTGTTATTACACAGGAGGAAACCACTCTATATCTTAGCTTCTTACCCTTTTCCCCTTCCAACATTCGTCAGCTTTTAGAGTGCTTTTTACCTAAATGATGAGGGACTATCTGAGCCTCTAGTGTTTCAGGCTACCAGATGCCCCAGCTAATCTTCAAGAATTTCCAAGGTCATGGTCCTTATCAAAAGCTGCACATGAGGATGCATGAGACAAGTGCTCAGGGCAGGTGCACTGGGATGACCCAGAGGGATGGGATGGGGAGGGAGGCGGGAGGGGGGTTCAGGATGGGGAACACATGTAAATCCATGGCTGATTCATGTCAATGTATGGCAAAAACCACTACAATATTGTAAAGTAATTAACCTCCAACTAATAAAAAATTAAAAAAAATAAACAGGAAAAAAAAGCTGCACATGAATATTCTCTTTCTCCTCACTCCTGATCTCCCAAATCAATTTTGCCCTTTGGCCACTATGATATGATATGGTGATTCCTCTCCCAACTTAAGGGGTAAATGGCAGAGTGGGGATGAGTTTTCATTTAGGCTGTGCTTCTCTGCCATGAACTGATTTGAAAGTACATGGTGAAGGAAGGGAAAAGAAAAGAAAGAAGAGGGCTGACTCTACACAATGGTTTCCAGGGACGTGAAAGACAAGGAAGTTAACACCCCCCGCCCCCCCCTCTCATTTCAGGAAGGTAATCCCTCTCTTCTGTCACTAACACTGCAGTAGAAATTAGAGACTCCAAGACATGGCAGATGCCAGTTCTGAACTCGTGGTGGTCCAGAATTTGAGGATATGACTGATGAGCCTCAAGGTTTGGATGGTGTACATACAATGGAAACAAATTTTCTCATTGACTTTCAATGAAGACTCTGCCTCTTTTTTTGCATAGCGTCAAAAGCAAAAGCCAACTGTAAGGCATATTTGTAATCTGTAGCAATTATGTCAAATCCTGCATAAACTCTTTGAGGATCAAGCATGAGTAGGCAGAGCAGATCTACAAAATGATCCATTTGTCCATCTCATTGCTTGCTATGAAAGTCACTCTGTTAATCAAGAAAGGTGGCTGCTTGGGACTGGCTTTCTCTAGTGCATCAGAAGAAACCCTGAAACTTGCTACTTTCAGGACCTTTTCTAGCTGTCCAATCTAAAACTATACACGTTGTTACTTTATGAAAATGATCATTCCAGGCCTGGACTGGATGCAGATTACTCTGGGAGGATGTTAGGAGTGGGGACAATATATTCCTATATAAATGTCTATGGATATCTACTGTGGAAATCTGGGCCTTTTAGCACCTGCTGTTTGGATATTACATTTAGCCCAAAACTTTAAATTTACCTAAGAAAAACCCTCTTGTAAACTGTAAGGAAAACAAACAATTTTCTAGAAATGAATCTTGGGCCAAGCATAAGCAGTGACCTTGGAGACAGAGTGTAAGTCATGGTAATGTTATTTGCAAGGACAAACTAGTTCTGTATAATGAGGTTATTGACCTGTACTGTTTTAGAGCAGTTTTAAACATCAGGGTGAGGCTCACTAAATCTCAGCCTGCAACATTAGCTAGAGAAGCCAGGACTGATCAATAAACAGCCACCATTATAGGCTCTCGGGAACCTTCATCATAATGGGGACCATTATAATTTTGGTCAGGTACAGAAAATAAGGTAACCTATACCTAACTTCTATTTATCACTTGGACTCTCATTTGAAAATGAAGGCCATTGATTACTTATTTTTTGAGAACGGAACTGGTTTTCCATTTCTCTCCTCATGTGAATAAATGTGTCCCATGCTCCAAAATGCACATGAGGAAAGGAAAGAAGTAGAAACCTTTTTCTCAGGCCAGCTTTTTTTTTATCAAAGAGAGAAGCAATTACATGACATTTCACTAAAAATTCTTGACCCAATAATGTACTGATGCCCAAACGCCGATTTTCCTCTTTCATAAGAAAGAGCAACAGAGAAAAGAAAGGTCATGGACCCTATTGTGATTCTTTACAGCTGCTGGAGACAGACAATATGATGCAGTAGCTTGATTTGAATGAAGCCAAACTATATGAAAAGCATCAAGCCTGGCAAGCAATGCAATAAAGCCTCAAAGAATTTAATCTACCTTGAAGGTGGGACTACTTTTTGTATTGATGGCAGCGCATCAGGACAGAAATGAGTCCTTTAATGCAATGACTCGTTAATAGCCTTAAGATCACAATATATAAATAGGATATGTTGATCAAAACGACAGCTCTGCCTCTGCTATTGTAGGATGGCCAATATTTCTTTACAAGTTATTTCATCGATTATAAATAGGGGAAGCATAACCCATTATGAGGTAATGGATATTGCTAGAGGTTGCTTCATTACCTTCACTGGCTCAGTGGCTGGTTTTTCCTTGTACAAATGCTGCCCTTTAGACAAAATCCCTTCCACATCCGGCTGTTTAGCTTGAACTGCTACTTCAGTTTCCTGGGGAAAAAGAGCACATACAGTGCAGATTAACTTCACAGTTAGCAATAAAATTACTAAATTTAAATATACCCTTGGAGACTCCACATGTATTGCAGATCAATTTCTATGCAGTACAGAGGGGCACACAGTATTTTTCAGTGCAGAGAAAAGAAATAGAAGTCTTTGTGCCACATACGAAAGTTTAAAAAAATTATCCCCAATTTACTTGAATTGTCATAATACTATTATGTAGAAACAGAGAAGATACTTGCTATTTTTCAGGAAAGGTAAAATGCAGTTATAAGAAGTATGATCTAGGCATGTGGTCAATATGGATAAATACGATAGTTAACTCCAATAATCTCAGTAACCCTAATGTCCATTTTACTACATACACTTCTTATTTTGGCTCTGAATCTCAAATTTTGTTTCGAGATATTTAGAAACCCAAGAAATCTTTCCACATCATTGTCAAAATGACTAACTTTCTTTCCAAAGAGTAAGCACTTAAAGCACAGGATCAAGGCTGATTAATTATTAAGCAGTCAAATTAAATAGGCCTTTTGAGGAATGATTCAGTTATCTTTAAAAATTTGATTTCCTTAGTCTGGAGAGGGCTGAAGCCTGATCGTATGACCAAAAAACAAGACCAAACAAAACATAATACAACAAAAGAAAACAAACAAACACACACACACACCCTCTTTAGATACACGAATATAAAGTTCTTTGCCACTGGCTGCTCTCTAGCTCTCCTAAAGAGAGGACCAAAGAAATGTGCATAAATTGAAGCTGAAGGAAGTGAAGTTAAATATTACAGAAGACTTTTTGGATGGAACACTTGTTAAACAGTAGGATGGAGTATCGATTAATCAATGTCAGGCGTCAGTCAGGGCCTGGGCAATCTTCCCCAGATAGCAATTCCTGATTAACCTGTATCCCTCTTCCTCCCTCTCCCACCCCGAGCCTCCCACCACTGCTGTGTGTACGTGTCTTCATGCCACTGTTTCCTTTCTCCACTGTGTTTGTCCCTGCTCTCTCAGCTCATCCAAGCAGGGTGTCCTCTGAACCAAATTACTATAATCTTATATGGCACAGTAGGGTTTCTTATAACTTGTGGGTGCTCATCACATGCTCCTGAGAAGGATGATTTCTTCAGTTCTTTTAATAAATAGCAGTGGGAGGGAGCCACTTGGTTAAAAGAGTCCACATTAACTCTATGTGTTACATGTGTATGTGTACAACACACAGACACACACCCACACATCCTTTAGAGACAATAATTATGGAAGAAACAAACCTAAAATTATAAGTATTAACTCACTATCTATGATAAGGAAGTTCTAAATGTGATTTTTTTTAACAGCAAAATTGTAGCAAGTTCAAAATCAGAGTGTATTTGGTGAGGGTTGGATCTTTCCATCTTCCCTTAGAATGATGTACAAGGGCACCCAGTCTAAATTCTGTACCTTCAGACAATGAGCACAAATAGTCAATAATTTTACCACTGTTTCATGGATGTAGCAAATGATTAGCACTAACAGGTTTCTCTCCCTGCTGCCCTCAGTGGCACACAGATTTTTCCAACCAGGGACTGAACCAATGAACCGGTGACCTCTGCTGTGGAAGCCTGGAGTCTTAGCCACCGGACCACAGGGGAAGGTCTCCTTGCACACAGTCTTCGATTGAAAATAAATAATTCCAAAGATCACAAATAATTGATGCCATTCTTCAGGAGGCACTGGTAAACAACCAGGGTTAAAAGACTGCATTTGCTATGACGAGGAATTCCCTCAGGAAATAAACACACAAATTTGAATTCATAAAATCTTCACTGGCAAATGAACAGAGTATCAAGGCTGACAGGAAGGCAGTCCAGATATTACTTAGAGCTCCAAGTTCTAAGGAGGTGCTTATTAGATGGGCTGTGGGATGCCATGTGAAATGTCTATGTTTTGCACTTAAAGAAAGAAAAATATTTCCTCTTCAGGCCACTGAATTCACCCTAGATTTAGTTCTCTGATGAATGAGTATTGCAAAGTCACATCATTTCCATAAAAAAAATTTTTAAAAAAAATTTTTGGCCACACCATGCGCAAGCAGTATCTTCCCTGATCAGGGCTAGAACTCCAGTTCCCTGTACTGGAAGCACAGAGTCTTAACCACTGGTAGTAGTGGTGGTTTAGTCACTAAGTTGTGTCCAACTTTTTTCAACCCCATGGACAGTAGGCCACCAGGCTCCTCTGTCCATGGGATTCTCCAGGCAAGAATACTGGAGTGGGTTGCCATTTCCTCCTTCAGGGGATCTTCATGACCCAGGGATCGAACCCTCGTTTCCTCTGTCTCCTGCTTGGCAGGCAGATGTTTTACCACTGAGCCACCTGGGGAGCCCTCCTTAACCACTGGACCATCAGGGAAGTCCACATCATTTCCATTTATAGAAATATTTCCTAGTACCATGTCCTTCCATCAACACACTTGCCATCTCTTCATCCTTTAATGAAAAAATGGAGAGTTTAAGTACCTGGATGAGATTTACACTTCGTCTAACAGAAATAGAGCAATGGGTAAGAGAAATCATAGTCAGCTCTTAATTCTTTGTGAGTACTTCCCGTTTATGATTTTTTTTGGAGAACTAGGTATCTGATTATACATACCTTTGATAAATCACTTTAGAAAGGCCATTTTGAAGATAACTTTCTAAAATTTACCTTACTACATTTATTTGCAATGTGAATTTATTATTGAGGGTCAAATATTATTGCTTGAAGGGTCAACTGTAGTATATCTGATTAAATTCCTTTCATATGTCCCTTAGTATAGTTTTCTTAAGCACATGTAAAAATATACCCTATGAGAAGCTGATCATCAAGCTGAAAAAAATGGAAGTATATGTGAAATAAATTTTTAAAAACTGATATCCCTTCATGCAATTAAGATTTGACATGGAAAAATTTAAAAGCAAACAAACAAATACCAGCCAAATCACATGACTATACAAAGATAAGAAAAAGCTGCTGAAATCATTAACTGTGCTGAAAATATCAACAAACTGCTACAGTGATATTAAGTGATTCTCATTAAGTGATATAACAATATTAACAAAACAGAGTTTCTGAAACTTTACCATGTGTCTGGACTTCCCTGATTGCTCAGATAGCAAAGAATCTGCCTGCAATGCAGGAGACCCAGGTTTGATTCCTGTGTCAAGAAGATCCCTTGGAGAAGAGAATGGCCACCCCCTCCAGTATTCTTGCCTGGAGAATTCCATGGACTGAGGAGTGTGCTGGGCTACAGTCCATAGGATTGCAAAGAGTGGGACACAATTGAGCGACTCACACTTTCACTTTACCATGTGTCAAACACTTTATTTTTTGTACATCTGTCCTTGTACTTAAACTCCTATAGAAAGGGTATTATCTGATTTTCCAGATGATGAAACTAAGAGAGATTAGGTCAATTTTCTAAGGCCATATAGCTTGCAAATGGCAGAGATGATATTATGACCAGAAAGTGTGTGTCACTAAACCTCCACTTCATCCTACTTTGTTGAGTAGAGGATGTGTGTGTGTGTCTGTGTGTACACACATGCATATGCTAAAACTGGCAGTCATGCTTCTTACTATAATGTTAATTTTTTTCTCCTCTTCTTTAACTCCAGTGCATTCTATAGTATCATTCCAATGGGTAAATGAGAGAAAACCCTGTCTTTTCCCACAAAAAATAAATTCTTACATAGCCTTTAAAAAATTCCAAGAATGTCTCTTTGTGGGTTTATGATTGTCAAACTGATGATATCCAGGTCAGAGAATTGGTTTGAGTAAATCTTTTATCTCCCCAATGACCTCACATCTTTATATGATTTAAGAGAAGGTGAAGAAGTTCACTACTAAAATGGAAACACGGCTAATTATAGTGGCCACTTTTTTCCTAAGTAGAAAGTGTTAAATTTCAAAGAAAATTCAGACAAGAAAGTCTTCGTGGGATTTCAACCAAAAAAACTCACTTCTAATAATGGAACATTTCCATATAAGTTTTTTTCTCTGCCTTATTTTTAATATATCCTTTGTAATATAAGATTGTACACCAGGAGTTAAGATCCTTATGATATAACTAGAGTTTTTTTTTTAATCATTGTACTGACAGTTCACTACAATCTCATGCATAATTTTAAGTATGTAATTTTTATTGAATAGGTAATAGGAACAGCCATTAATACTCACTAGGAAAATACTGTACTGCATTTAAAAAAAATCCTGCCTTGATAGGTATTCAAAATGGAGTAACTCTCTAAGCACCTTCAGTTTTATATCTTTTTAGACAGCATTACTTATATTGTTGGTAGCGTTAGTCTTGACAAGCAGCGAAGCAATGGTTAGTGATTAAAAAAGACTGAACAGCACCTTTGGGGATGAAAGTAGCAACTCATATGCAAATTAATGTATACTCAATATTTTTAAAAATTTTATTCATTGACTTTTATATTTATAATTCAATATTAAACTGATTGTATGCACACATTTCTTTTTAAACTAGAAATTTGGTGCTGCTAAGGATAATATAAGAGAGATGTATTTTGCCTTGTTTTCCTTAGATATTTTTAATTTCTTTATATTTCTATCATTTTACTTATTGTTAACCTTGGAGTGTATCTATATATATATATACACACACACATATAAGTGTATATATATATGTGTGTGTGTGTGTATGCGTGCGTGCTAAGTCTCTTCAGTTGTGTCTGACTCTTTGTGACCCCATGGACTGTAGCCCGCCAGGCTCCTCTGTCCATGGGATTCTCCAGGCAAGAACACTGGAGTGGGCTGTCATTTTCTTCTCCAGGGGATTCAACCCACATCTCCTGTGTCTCCTGCATTGCAGGCAGATTCTTTACCATCTTCACAAAGTAAAAAGGATATCAACAGCCTTTTCGCATATGTTCCAACATTCATTTGTTCATTTCACAAACACTTATTTAATATTCACTATGTTTCAAAGTTTTGGCTAGGAACTGTGAA